TCACCACCTTGTGGCTGTGGGCGCTGCCATCTTTGAAGGCGTGGCAGTCAATTAGCATATTCCCTCCTTATTGGCTGTGGGCACTCCCATCTTTGCAACAGCATGAGGGTCAATTAGCATATTTCCTCTTTATTAGATAGGATAGTCTGAGATAGTTTAATATTGGACTTATTCTTTGAAGATTAGATTGAACTCAGTTATAAAAACAAGGTAGGTCTAACATTATTTTAAGAGGTTGACATTTAACTGCCTTTCTAATTTCTTAAATGATTATTGGTAAGTTCAGGTTGTTACTTTTTGAGATTAGTTCATTTCTCTAAATTCACCAACATTTGCACTTGATACTCTTATATTTCTGTAGCCCTACTTTTTCTTGAGTTCTATTGTCTTTGTTAATGATAATGTTTTTGTTTTGTTTGTTTCACTTTCTTTCTTTAATCATGATTTTCTATTTAGTCTTTTCAAAGAACCAACTTGTAGTTTTCCAAGTACAAGTCTTTTACTTCTTTGGTTGAGTTTATTCCTAAGTATCTTAATTTTTTTGTAAATGCAATTATTTGTTTAGTTTCTCTTTCTGACAATTCATTATTGGTGTATAAAAATGCCTTTGATTTCTGGGTGTTGAGTTTGTATCCTGCTACATTGCTGAATTCCTCTATTAAATCTAGTAGATTTTTGGTGGAGTCTTTAGGGTTTTCTATGTACTATATCATATCATCTGTAAATAACGAGAGTTTTACTTCCTCCTTTCCAATTTGGATGCCTTTTATTTTTTTCTTGTCTGATCTCTATAGTTAGGACTTCCAGTACTATGTTGATTAAGAGTGGTGAAAGTGTACATCCCTGTCTTGTTCTTGCTCTTAGGGGAAATGGTTTTAGTTTTTGCCCATTGAATATGATGTTGGCTGTATGGACTTTATTCTGTTGAGATATGATCCCTCTATTCTCACTTTGCTAGGAGTTTGTTGTTGTTTTTTTAAATAAAAAATGGGTGTTGGATTTTTCAGAATGCTTTTTCTGTGTCTATTGATATGATTATGTGATTTTTGTCTTTTAATTTGTTTATGTGATGCATCACGTTTATTGATTTGCAAATATTGTATCAGCCTTCCATCCCTGGAATAAATCTCACTTGATCATGGTGCATGATCTTTTTAATATATTGCTGGATCCGATTTGCTAATATTTTGTTGAGGATTTTAGCATCTATGCTCATTAGGGATATTGGCCTGTAGTTCTCTTTCTTTGAAGTGTCTTTATCTGGTTTTGGAATTAGAATAATGCTGGCCTCATAAAAAGAGCTTGGAAGTGTTCCTTCCTCTTGGATTTTTTGGAATAGTTTGAGGAAGGTAGGTGTTAATTTTTCTTTGAAGGTTTGGTAAAACTCCCCTGTGAAGCCATCCAGACCAGGGCTTTTGTTTGCTGGGAGGTGTTTTTTTTTTTAATTACTGCTTGTATTTCATCAGTTGTTATTGGCCTATTCAGGTTTTCTGATTCTTCCTGATTCAGTTTTGGGAGATAGTATTTTTTTAGGAATTTGTCCATTTCATCCACATTGTCCAGCTTACTGGCATATAGTTGTTCATAGTATTTTCTTACAATCCTTTGTATTTCTGTGGTTTCAGGTGTTACTTTACTGCTTTCATTTCTGATTTTATTTGAATCCTCCTCTTTGTTTCTTGATGAGTCTGGCTAAAGGTTTATCAATCTTGTTTATCTTTTCAAAGAACCAGCTCTTGATTTCATTGATTTTTTGGGGGTTTTTTTTGGTTTTTTTTAGCCTCTTTGTCATTAATTTCTGTCATGAATTTATTATTTCCTTCCTTATACTTACTCTGGGCTTTTCTTATTGTTCTCTTTCTAATTCTTTAAGTTGTAGGGTTAAATAGTTTATTATTAATTTTTCTTATTTTTTGAGATAGGCCTTAGTTCTATGATCTTCCCTCTCAGGACTGCGTTTACTGTATCTAATAGATTTGGGGTTGTTGTGTGTTCATTTTCATTTGTTTCCAGGAATTTTTTTATTTATTTCTTATCCTCATTGGTAACCCATTCATTGTTTAGTAACATGCTATTTAGCCTCCATGTGTTTAAATGTTTTTCAGTGTTTTTACCTGTAGTTGATTTCTAAATTATTCCATTGTGATCTGAGAAGATGCTTGATATGATTTCAATTTTCTTGAATTTGTAGAGACTGACTTTGTGTCCCAACATGTAGTCTATTTTTGCGAATGACCCATGTGCACTTGAGAAGAATGTATATTCTGCTGCTTTGGGGTGAAATGTTCTATAAATGTCAATTAAATCCATCTGATCCAGTGAGTCATTTAGAGTCTCTGTTTCCTTGTTAAGTTTTTGTCTGGAAGAGCTATCCAGTGAAGTCACTGGGGTGTTAAAGTCCCCTACTATGACTGTATTGCTGTCGATCTCTACCTTAAAGTCATCTAGAAGTTTTTATATATATTTAGGTGCTCCTGTATTGTGCATATATGTTTACCAGGGTTTATCTTTATTGGATCGATCCCTTTAGTATTATGTAGTGACCTTTGTTGTTTCTTGTGATGGCCTTCATTTTGAAGTCTATTTTGCCAACTATGAGTATTGCTACCCCAGCTTTTTTTCGTTTCCATTTGCATGGAAAAATTTTTTCCATCCCTTCACTCTCATCCTGTGTGAGTCTTTTGTTCTGAGGTGGGTCTTATACACAGCATATAATTGGCTCATGGTTTTGTATCCACTTAGCTGCCCTATTTTTTTATTGGAGTATTTAATCCATTTACATTTAAGGTTATTATTAACTAGAGGCCTGATGTACGAAATTCGTGCAAGAGTAGGCCTTCCTTCCCCTGGCTGTCGGCACCGGCTTCCCTCTGGCACCTGGGACCCCAGCTTCCCTCGTAATCCTGGCTTCGTCCAGAAGGTCGTCTGGAAAGACATCTGGAAGGACGTCTGATCTAATTAGCATATTACACTTTTATTATTATAGATAGGTGCTTATTTATTGTCATTTTAATTCTTTTTAAAAAAATATTTGTATTTATTTCAGAGAAGAAGGGAGAGGGAGAGAGAGAAACATCAATGATGAGAGAGAATCATCTATTGGTGCCTCCTGTATGCCCCCTACTGGGGATCAAGCCTGCAACCCAGGCATGTGCCCTGATCAGGATTGAACTGTGACCTTCTGGTTCATAGGTCAATGCTCAACCTCTGAGCCACACCAGCTGGGCCCATTTTAATTATTTATGCCTATGTTTCTCTCTCTATATATATATTTCTTCTATTACAGCAGTTCCTTTAGCATTTCTTGCAGTGTTGGTTTGATGGTGATAAACACCTTTAGCCATTTTTTATCTGGGGAGCTCTTTATTTCATCATCTATTTTGAATGATAGCCTTGCTGGAAAAGTCACTATCATTCTGTTAACTAAGTTCCCCAGTTAATCTCTCCCCACCCATCCTCCTCCCCTGCATTCCCTCTGAGATTCATCAGTCTGTTCCATGTTTCAATGTCTCTGGATCTATTTTATTCATCAGCTTATTTTATTCATTAGATTCCACATGGGTGAGACCATGTGTTACTTATCTTGCTCTGACTGGCTTATTTCACTTAGCATAATACTCCCCAGGTTCTTTCATGCTATCTCAAAGGGTAAGAGATCCTTCTTTTTTACCTCTGTTCAGATCACTGGATAGCTAGCTCACCTCTGAGGGTTTTAAACAGGTGATACCCTTGGGTTATTGTAGAATAAGTCTTGGACCTGGAGGGTCAAAACCCGAGGTCTGAGTCTTGGTGTGGCTTGTATTAGAAGTGTTCAAGCAGAGGGTAGAGGCTCTGGGGCATGATGGAAAAAACACTGGCCTTGGATTTGAACTCTGTGAATAACTTTTGCTGAATTACTCAACTGCTCTGAGCTTATTTCCTCCTTATAAAATGGCATAGTCCAACAGATTGTCATGTTATATTGTAAATCAGAAGATGCCTTAATCAGTAAGCCAAATTTATTTGGAGTCTTTTTAATTTCGCTAGTGCTAGCAGGCCCAGAGGAAATATTGCTTCTCAAATTCTGGGGCCCAATATGGTGGAAGTCTTTCCTATTTATATGTTTTTCCGTTCTTTGTTTTCCAAATTTGGAATGAGACTTCTGGACCTTCTGAGAAAGAGGTCCTGTGTGCTGGGAAAGGGCCGTGAGACCACATCTCAAGGCCTGGCCTGGCACCAGCACTGACAACTCTGTCTGGGGCATAGTTTATGGCCTCTCTGGAATGGGAGTAGTCTTATTTTTCCCTATTATTTAAGCAAGCAAACACTTACAGAAGCCGGAATAGCAGGGTTAAAATTTTAAACAGCAGTTTTTACCCAAGATGGAGGTTACTATGCTTCAGTCACAGAGACCAAAATAAGTAGTGGGTGGGAAGTATTTGGAAGACAGTATAGAGCTGAAAGTCATTGTCATCCTCTTAACAGCACTCTGGGAGCATGCCATTCTCCAACCTTATACCTATAGTTTAGGGTTCATTTCACTGGGGCCCTATCATTCCAGAACCTGAAAAGACACAAGCCTGGGCCAAATGATGCCAGATGGAAGGAAGAGACAGGGTCTTTTTTTTTTTTTAATATATTTTATTGATTTTTTACAGAGAGGAAGGGAGAGGGATAGAGAGTTAGAAACATCGATGAGAGAGAAACATCGGTCAGCTGCCTCTTGCACACCCCCTATTGGGGATGTGCCCGCAACCAAGGAACATGCCCTTAGCCGGAATCGAACCTGGGACCCTTGAGTCCGCAGGCTGACGCGCTAGCCACTGAGCCAAAGCGGTTAGGGCGAGACAGGGTCTTAAAGACATAAAGAAACACCTGTGTGGAGGCTCCCCTTCCATGGCCCAAGTTGATTCAACCCCTTGGGAGGCCCGTGGCCCTAGTTAGAGGAAGGCAGAGGTCCTGGGACCACTGTAAGCCCGAGACCATCCCAAACTCATAAACCTGTCTCCTTTGTCTCTCAGTATCATGAGTGCCAAGGAGGATGCTAAGTGGCTTCAGTGGGTGACACACCAGTTTGAGACCATTGCTGGAGAAGACCGGGAGATCAACCTGCAAGAATTCAAAACAGCCCTGAATGTGAAAGAGGCAAGTGTCCACTCCAGAAGTGGGGACTGTGTTTACAGAGGAAGACAATCTGGTTCCAGGACACAGTGCCTCACAAGGAGGGAAAGGTCCCCTCTGGGTTCTCTGGGCTTGAGGCTTCACTTCTGAGCAGGGTTGGGTGAGGGGGAGCTTCTCCCGCTGCCACATCCTTCCCAGTCTTCCTTTGATTTTGGGGGTCCTCTGCCCATCCCCATAACAACCTGCATACCTGACAAACAGTGGTGACACTAGCAGAGAAAACAGCAGGACTGAGCCTGCAAATGCCAACTTCTCCCCAATTGTCCTCTGGGCTGGCATTCAGATGATGGCCTATGTCCTTGATAAGGGGGAGCCAATGAGCATTTGAATGCCCTTTTGGATCAGAGGGTTCCTCACTTGCTGGTACCTGGGATACTGCAAAGAACTCTAAATGCTCTGCCTCCTTCCATTGTAATTATGGGGAAGAAAAAAAGACCTTCTGTCTAACAATACATTACCATGATAACAGGAGGCTGTAAAATGTATTAAGATAAAGGCCATTCAGGAAGGTAGAGAGTGATAAGGCATTACTCAATGGATCCAGGGGGGAAAGAGTACCAATAAAGCCAAGGCAGGCTTGACTGTTCATAGCTGACTTCATGCTTCATGTGAACTCATGGTTTCTTTAGGTCAGAAACAGGAGCCCTGCAGGCTTCTCTCCCTGCCTTGAGGGAAGCATCCAGAGCACAGCATACTGGTAGCTGGGACACTGATCCAGCCCAGGTCTTCTTAATACCTGTCTTTCCCAGTGTCTAACACCAGGCCTGGCAAGCAGGGGCTATGCAGGACATGATTGTTGGATGGATGGATGGATGGATGGATGGATGGATGGATGGATGGATTGATGGATGGATGGGTGGGTGGATGGATGGATGGATGGATGGAGTGAATTGGCACTTAAGAACAATCCTTAAGTGTAGGCCATAGGCAGCCAAAACAAGCAAAGGAAAAGGCAGGTGACATCTACTCTATAAGTTCTTCCTGGGTTCACTTATCCCTGGTGGTGGCCCCAAAGGGGATGGAGAGGACCTGGGGGAGCCTGTAGGAGGACCCTAATTTGACCCTTTCCCCATGTGAAGTAAGAGGCCACTAGAGGTCTGGACTGCAAGGCTGATGGGGGTGGTGGCAGAGAGCCTACACAAATGACCAGTCCCAGAGGCTAGAAGGGGACCTGAGCCCCATACACAAGTCCATCCTTGCTGCAGGGCTCCGAACAGTTCGTCCACTAGAGCCCAACCTTGCTCTCAGCAGGCAGGATGGGCCATGGACACTGCACCCTGGTGTGGCCTCATGGGCAGATATAAACTGGGTCCTGACTGAATCCCATCACCCCAAGGTGTATACACACACACACACACACACACACACACACACACACACACACACACGGTGAGTGAATTCAAAGCCCAGGCCCTGCAGCCACACTTGCCACACTTGTGTCTGTCTCCTCCCTTCTATGGCCACAGTCCTTTTTTGCTGAGCGGTTCTTCGCCCTGTTTGACTCGGATGGAAGTGGCACCATCACCCTGCAGGAGCTGCAGGAGGCACTGACCCTGCTCATCCACGGCAACCCCATGGACAAACTCAAATTCCTCTTCCAGGTGTATGATGTCGATGGTAAGGGCTCTTTGTATGGGTCCGGGGGACTCCAAAGGGGGACGAGGGGGCGGGGGGGCGGGGGGAGGGAATCAGCCCATCTCAGTGCTGTGCCCAACACAGGGCTGTTTTCTCCAGGCGAGGCTGATGGTTCTCCCTCTGTGGGTCCCCCACCCCTATCGTTCTGTCTGGTCCCTGCCTCCTTTTTGTGGGTGGAGAGAAGGGGAGACTGGCCCAGGAGACAAATGCCCTTGATTCAACTCACCTGAGACCAGAGTTGTCCTTTGTCTTTTTCTCTGATTGGAAAAAAAAAATCTTTGTTACTTTTTTCTTGTAACAATAATAACACAAGCCTGCTATGAACATTTGAGATAGTACAAAATAGTTTAAAGAAAAAAGCAAAAATTACCCAGAACATTTTTCTATACTGTCTTCTAACTGATCTCACACACACACACATACACACACACACACATACACACACACACACACATTTTTAACTAGATAGGATTATACTATACATGCTACCTTTTATCACTATTTAACAATATGAACATTTGGTTCATGTGAGACTATATTGTTTTATAACATCATTTTTCATTGTAGTAAATATGCATAACATTAAATTTATCACTTTAAACATTTTAAGTGTACAATTCAGCAGCATTAAGTATATTCACGTTGTTGGGCAAGCATCGCCACCATCCATCTCCAGAACTTTTAATTTTTCCCAACTGAAACCCTGGACCCATTAAACACTAACTCCCATCCTCTCCCTCCACCTGCCCTCATCCTTGGCAACCACCATTCTACTTTCTGTCTTTAAAAATTTGACTATTCTAGGTATCTCATATAAGTGGAATCACATAATATTTGCCCTTTTGTGATTGGCTTATTTCATTTAGCATCATGACTTCAAGGTTTATCCATGTACTAGGTGACAAGATTTCATTTTTTTAAAAAAAACTAAACAATATTCTATTGTCTGTATATACCACACTTTGTTTATTCATTCATCCATCAATGGATTCTTGAGTTGTTTTTACCTCTCAAATATTGTGAACAATGCTGCAATGAACATGAGTGTACAAATATCTCTTTGACATTCCAATTTCACTTCTTTTGGCATATACCCAGAGATGGAATTGCTGAATCATAGGGAAATCCTATTTTTAATTTTTTGAGGAACCATACTCTTATCCATAGCAGTTGCACCATTTTACATACCCACTAGCACAAGGATTCTAATTTCTTCACAGCCTTGCCAGCATTTTTTATTTTCATTTATAATAGCCATCCTGGTGAGTGTGAAGTGGTAACTCAATGTAGTTATAGCATCATTTTAAGTGGCTGTGTCATATGCCACTGTACATATGTGGTCCTATGTTCCATATAGCATAGCCCAGTACATAGTTAAGATCTCTGACTCTGAGGCCAGATTACTTAGGTTCAAATCTCAGCTCCACCAATAATTTGACCTTGAGCAAGTTACTTCACTTCTCTATGCCTCAATTTCTTCACCTATCACATAAGAATAATGATAATAATAATACATTTCATGAAGTTGATCTGAGGATTAAATTAGTTAACTTAGCTAACAGTACCTATAATAGGATACACTCTGTTATTTATTATTTATTCAAACCCTATTATTGAAATTGTCCTCCCCCCTTCTTTTTGTGGGCGGCATTATAAATGAACATCCTGGTTTTTACATATTTGGTGACTTTGTAACCTAAGGGTTTCTGAAGGCCTGGAATCATCAGGGCAAAGGAAACTGGAATGGGAAAGAAGCATCCAATGAGACTGGAATGGTGGGTGAGGTCATACTGTGCAGGCCCTGGGGGACATGTTTTGGAGTCTCAGTAGAATGAGCAATGGGAAACCATCAAACAGTGCTGAGCAGAGCAGTCACAGGGCTAGATTTCCATCCTGTAAAGCTCAACCTACCTGCAAATCTGCTGCTGGGCAAGGGTCTCTGGCCTGTGGGGTTTCTCTAGCTCCCATGCCCACCTGACTCAATCTAGCCAGACCTCATTCCTGGAACCCACTCCCCAAGTTGACTGGCCTGCCCACTCCATGGGCAGTTGACCACGCTGCTTCCTGGGCATCTTCCTCAGACCTCACTCCAGTCATCACAGCGCCCTCTTTACTGACTGCTTTCTGACCACCAAGCTGTGCTCATACCTGGGGATTTTCCAAAGACTTGAGGATGGAGAGGTTGTCCTGTAACAGGAAGAACACAGGCCTACATCATACTCAAGGTCTCTTGCAGACAAAGGTGGGGAGGAAGCCCGAGGGCAGGGCAGGTGTAAGGAGACTTGTAGTTTTACAGAAAGAGCTAGAGGGCATTCTCTTCCAGTGGCCCAAGTTTTCACTGAGAGCCAGGGAGGGATTGATTGGATGGGCACGGAGGTGAGAAGTGGTCTTTGCAGACAGCGGGAGCGTGACCTTACGAGAGGTGCAGGAGAGGACTGTGGGCAAGTTGCAGGCCTTGTTGTGGCTGGGGATCAAACAATTCCTGCCCTCCTGGGTGACTGTCTTCAGCAGTGTTCACTTAGCTGCCCTGGAACAGGAAAGAAGAAAACAGGTGGTTGGATTCACCCAGGGATGGGGTATTTTTAGGGTCAGTGGAATAGGACAGAGGGATGAGGAAGAAGAGTGTGTGCATGAGAATAGTTGTGAAGGAGGATAGACTCTGGATTTGCAAATGCCCAAGGAGAGAAGAGAGCTGGGTGGAGGAGAGGGTGTGAAGGGGTAGGGGAGGGACTGGTGCTCTGGATGTAGTCTGAAACCTGTTGCGCGGTGGCTCTTGACTAGGAAAGCTGAGGACAGGAGGTGCGGCTGGAGAGTGATGTGTTAGACTCTGCTCTGTAATGTGATTACAGACTTTGGCTTTGGCCCAAATGATGATCACAAAGCCAATAAGACTTTCCATTTATATGCAACCACCTTCTTGTACTGTGTTAAGTGCTTTATAATTAATTATCTCTCATCCTTGAAGATAATTAATTCTGAAAAGGAGGATTTATTATCCCCATTTTCAAGATGAGCAAAATAGCATTCACTACTGTAAAGGTCTTACATCACTCAGATAGTAAGGGACAGAGCTTGTTGCTACATGTGTGTCTATATCCAAAGCAGGCCAAGAAATCAGCAATCAAGGGTCTTGCTATTTTTGAAGAATGAAAATACATATGAAAAAAAAATGCTCCAAATACTCATCTCAGTTGATAGTTTTGGCTTCCTTTTCACATCACTTTTAGCCACTCATATTCACATAAGTCCACATGCTGTGGCCTCTCAGGACAACATGGTTGAGCAGAGCCTGCTGCAAGTTAGGGCACAACAGGGAACTCCCCCCTCACCACCACCTCATACACAGCTTGCCCGTGGATAATTGAGACTCTGGGCATGTAACTTCTTATAGATTAAGCAAGTGAGTGTATCTTCTGGACAGTTGGTCTTGGTCATCGAATGATGCTTAACGAGGCGGCTGCAGATTCTTCAGCCAGGCAGGCACCGAAGCCAAAGCTTCTCCATGCTGGGGGAGGGGTTTGTCTCTGTTGAGCTTGGCAATAGGAAGCCATGGAGGGTTTGTGAGCCGAGGTGACACATGTCCTTTGACTGTCTGGTCTGTACCCCGAAAGGAAATTGGTTGGAGGAAGACTGAGGTAGGCGAGCAGGAAAAGTTCACTACTCTATGCAATGACTGAGCAGGGCAGAGGTGTCTGCAGGTACAGAGTGGGGTCCGGGCACAGGCCCCCCACTTGGCATCATCCCCTCCTGGGACAGGCAATGGCTCCATCGACGCTGACGAGCTGCGCACCGTGCTGCAGTCCTGCCTGCTGGAGAGCGCCATCTCGCTGTCGGAGGAGAAGCTGGACCAGCTGACGCTGGCGCTCTTCGAGTCTGCGGACAAGGACTGCAGTGGCGACATCACCTTTGAGGAGCTCCGAGATGAGCTGCAGCACTTCCCCGGCGTCATGGAGAACCTGACCATCAGGTACGCACAGCCCTTCTCCGGCGTGGGCACTGCATGTGTCTGGTTTAGACTCCGGGAGCGAAGAGCGGCGTGAACTTACTCACCAGAGATCCCTCAGTCCCGCCTCCCCCGCTTTGGGTCAGCCCCGCCCCACCTCAGGTCAGCCCCTCCCACCCCAGCTCAGCCCCAACCCAACCTCGCTTAGCCCAGTTGTGCCCACTTTTTCCGCAGGGGACAGCTATAGTCATGCTTCCATTTTCTACTGTGTCTCTTCAGAATCTACTCACAGAAGTAAGCACCTACTAAGTGCTGGGCATTATTACAAATATACCAGTGCATTTTATAGCACTGGTATATTTGTCAAAGGAAATTAAAGTTGTAAAAAGATTAAAGTTACAAAAAGAAATTAAAGGTATTTCACCTGAAGTAACATGCCTAGGACCACACAAGTGATTAGCAAAGGCAATCAGGTATTCAATTTGGTTGAACAGCTACTATGTACCAGACACTGTTCTGGAAAAAGGCAGTGCCCTGCTGGGCTGCATCCCAGAGGGAGAGAACGTCATTTATGCCAATAAACAAACACATAAAGTAGAAAAGCAGAAATGTAATAAGGGCTGTGGAGAAATAATATACATCGGGTGTAGACTCAAGTTGGTCCCACGCTCTGAATAAATAGTGCCCGTTTTTAGTTTATTCTTTTTGTGTATTAACTTTTTTGTGGGTTATTTACTACAGCACATCTCAGAGTCTTCCATCCTTTTCAATTGCTGGGTTTTCTTTTTTTCAATTGGGAAGTAAGGAGAGGTAATAAAAATAGTCACAGATGTGGCATCAGACAGAGCGAAGCTCCATCCCAGCTCCACCTCGCTGTGTGACCCGAAGCAGTCGCTTGTGTTTCTTACTGTAAAAGGAAGCTTGCTTGCTGCCAGGCTCCAGAGAGTTGGTGGGCTGCAGCGGGAGTGAGGTCTCTAGGTTCCGATCCCGGGGTCCCCATCACAACCCCGGTGGATTCCTCCCTCCCCAGCCTGCCCCACTCCGTCCTTCTGAGTGGAGCCCCTCTCTTGCAGTGCTGCCCACTGGCTGAAGCCCCCTGCCACCAAACGGCACTCACCCCGTCCTCGCCCACTGACCTCTGCCTACTGGCACAATCACCGCAGCCAGCTACTCTGCCTGGCCGCCTACACCGGCCTCCATGTGCTGCTCTTCGCCCTGGCAGCTAGTGCGCACCGGGCCCTCGGCATCAGCGTCATGGTGGCCAAGGGCTGTGGCCAGTGCCTCAACTTCGACTGCAGCTTCATCGCGGTAGGAATCCGAGGGTACAATGCAGGAAAGCGGGCAGGGGCACTGATGTAGGCTCCTCATAGACAACCCACACGGTGGACGTAGAGTGCCAGGGCAGGATGGCACCTTTGAAATCAGGGTCATTACTCAGTGGTGGAGACTGAAGCCCAGAGAGGGGCAGTGACTTGTCCATAGTCACACAGCACATAAATAACATAGCTGGCATTTTTGTGCCCTTTACTGGGTACCCATCAGGGTGCTAAGCACTTTCCATTGGATGGGCACAACAAAACTATAGTGGATCTGGAGGAGGTGGGGCTGGCTCCTGGGCAGGGCTCCCCCAGAGAGAACCCTTCAAGAGGCCTTGCTTGCCAGGCTAAGGAGTCAATGTAATGAACCCTCTGGGCCAGGGAATTCGGTCACCAAGCATTTTTGCCTACTCCTACCATTAAAACAAAACAGAAGACCCTTCCAACAGCCCAATACATGTGTATTTACTTATAATTATATGCATGCCCTATTATCATTAGCCAATCGACTTATACCACAATATAGCTGTAAGGCAAGGGTCGTTTTTAATGGTCAGGGATGTACATCTCTAGTTCAAACACTCTTCTTGATCATATCAGCTTCTTAAGAGTGGCTTGTATTTTTAACCTCATAACTGCCTACAAAGAGTTCATTCCAAGAGTGGGAGACACATGGCTCATTTTCCTAGTAACTTGCTATTGCATTATCAACTCTGTTTTCAATCTTCACTTTCTTTGCTGTGAATCTTTTTAAGCTACTTGCCACTTCTGTGAGGCGTGGTTAGTTTACGTTAAAACCGGACAATGCAATCTGCAAGTCCACATATCTGTGTGCAGTAATTGCATTGAAAGCAAATGAGCAAGTGAGGAAGCCCTCGTCAGGTGCCCCTCGGAAAGCCAGGTCTTTCCCAAGACACCTCAAGAATCACATGTGACATGTGCCCATCTAACATACAGGATAAAGAGGTCATCGTGTCAATGCAGGTATTAAATGTCAGTGCTTCTCATGTGTTTAGATAGAAGCAGTACCAGCAGGCATTCTATAACATTTTCTCTTCCCACCCCCATCCCGGAGACCCTACCTCGGAGACCCCAGCTGTGGACCCAGGAGAGCAGCGAAGGCTTGGGGGCGGGGGGTGGTGATGGGGCCCTTCAGGAAGCACAGCTAGCTCAGAGGGAGGCAGGGAGACAGCTGCTGGGGAAGGAGGACAGGGCAGAGGGAGAGTCAGGCAGGGATCTCGGCCCCTTTGTCCTGCAGGTGCTGATGCTTAGGCGCTGCCTCACATGGCTGCGGGCCACGTGGCTGGCTCAGGTCCTGCCCCTGGACCGGAACATACAGTTTCACCAGCTTATGGGCTATGTGGTGGTTGGGCTCTCCCTTGTGCACACTGTGGCCCATGTTGTGAACTTTGGTGAGTGGCCTGGGGCTGGGGGGATGGTGGGACCTGAGCCTTTCCCAACCACTCAGTTATCCAGTCCCTGTGTGTCCTGCCTGCCTGATGAGTGGAGAAGTGGTGCCCCCGATAAGCCAGCACTCTGGACAAAAGTCCCCGCCCTCATGGGGATCTGGTGGGGAGAGATGGGGACCACAAAGGAAGGTGGAGTGGGAAGAGCTTTTCTTGTGCTTGTCTCCAGTGCTCCAGGCCCAGTCTGAGTCCAGCCCCTTCCAGTTTTGGGAACTGCTGCTCACCACGAGGCCTGGCATTGGCTGGGTCCATGGCTTGGCCTCCCCGACCGGCGTGGCTCTCCTCTTGCTGCTGCTCCTCATGTTCGCCTGCTCCAGCTCCTGCATCCGCAGGAGCGGCCACTTTGAGGTGCCCAGCCCTTGCCCCCTTTGCCTCTCCCAGGCTGGGCTCCCATCTCATTTCATGCCATGCCCCCTCTAACGTACTCCCAGAGCCCATGAAGGTCCCAGGCTAGTATGCATATTATGTGCATGTGATTTGGGTTCTGCCATTGGGCTGTTGTTAATGTCTGCCAAGTGCAAGTGTTTTGCTCTAGAACAGTGGTTCTCAACCTTGGCTGCACGTTAGAATCACCTGGGAATCTTTTTAAAATCCTGATTTCTGGGCCTCATCCTCTGGAAATTCTGTTTCTTTGTTATGGGGTGGAGCCACAACATTAGTAACAAAGAAACAGAATTTCCGGAGGATGAGGCCCAGAAATCAGAATTTTAAAAAGATTCCCAGGTGATTCTAATGTGCAGCCAAGGTTGAGAACCACTGCTCTAGAAGATTCTGCCTTTTCTCTGGCTCATCCCCTAGTTTGATTAAACTGGGCTCAAGATGGCATAGGGAGGTGAAGGAACACAGGCCCCCAGGGTTCTAATCCCCACCCCTCGATTTACAGGTCACTCAGCTTCCTCATCTGCAAAATAAAGCTATAATCTTCTACTTTTGATGTTATTTTAGTAATTAAACAAGAAAATGTATGTGAAGCCAGTAACTACCTACCTGGAACAGAAGTGCTCCAAAAATGTTAGTTTTATCTTTGCTTCCCTCTCTCTAACCTCCTCAAGACACAGGAGGTCACAGAGGATTTAGTTTGGAGACGCTGGCTGTCCCTGGACTGACCTGGTCACATCAGAAATAGATGTATACAGAGCACCTACTCTGGGCCAGCACCAGCCCTTTGAAGTAGGAATCAGCATCCTCATTTAACAATGAGGAATCGAAAGCTCAGAAATGTCATTTACTAAGCCGATGTCCCAAGAGAGTAGCAGAGCGCGTATTAAAGCTCAGTCCTCAGCCTTTTTCTTTTCCATTCCCAGAAAACCATTGTTGTCTTGCCTTTCTTTCCCCAGAGAAAGGGTCAGTGTGATGGGACATTAGTGCTACGAGGCCTTTGGGGGTGCTCCACTCTGCCCAGAACACCCCCAGGAGGATGTTTCAGATGTTTGCCTGCTGGCACCAGGAAACTTCCCGTACAGGCTCCGTGGGCCAAGTCCCCAGAACAAAGAATCGAGGAAGCTTCCCAGCCTCTTACCCAGCCCAGTCCCCAGGAGAGGATTTGTATGGCCAAGACTCTGGGCACCATCCTGGCTTTGAGGATGGCCCTGAGCCATGGCCTTGCCTTGAACTCTAGCAACTTATGCCCCCCACCCCCACAGGTGTTCTACTGGACCCACCTGTCCTACCTTCCCATGTGGCTCCTGCTCATCCTGCATGGGCCCAACTTCTGGAAGTGGCTGCTGGTCCCCGGCATCTTGTTCTTCCTGGAGAAGGCCGTCGGGCTGGCGGTGTCCCGCATGGCAGCCCTGAGCATCGTGGAAGTCAATCTGCTCCCCTCCAAGGTGCAAAGAGGGCCTGAGGGGCCAAGGGGAGATGCAGATGGTGGTAGGGCACAGCAACTGGATATCCTGTTTGGTCCCCAAGGAGAAAGGGAGCCCCAGCCCAGTGGAGGAGACAAGCAAAGTGCAAGACCCAGTCCAGCCCTTCAGGAGTGACACTATAGGAAGGGGAATGACAGGCTACCACTAAAAGCCAGGTCTGCAAAGAACATGCTCAGTTACCATGTAGTGAATGGCTATGAGGTGGAGGCCCTGTGCTAGGTGACAGACACAGAAAAGGCTCAGGCACTGTCATGCTCTCCACGGCTCCCGAGGCTAGTAGACGATTAGTCCTTTCATTATAGTGCAGGGCTGTGCTGGTAAGAGAAGTACAGTTCCAGGAGGACTCAAACTCTGTCTTTGAGAGGCCAGAGAGGACTTCAGAATGAGGGAGGAGATGCCATATCAGGGCTTTGAGAGATGAGCAGGAGTTTGTTGGATTGACAACACATGAAAGGGCATTGCTGAAGGGGTGGGCAGGGCCTAGTAGTGAATTTAGCCTCCCTCTGCAGGCCCCAGGGAACCCCTGAGCAGGGTGGGGAAGAGAGTGTGGTATTAAGCTGATATCTGTTCCAGCTAAATTTTTTAGTTGCTCTGTGGAAGGTGGCTTGTAGGGGACCATTTGGGATCTTGTTGCACAAATGCAGATAAGAGCTCATCAGGGCCTTGATCCTGAACTGGGGCAGTGACTGTGGGATGAGGAGAGGGAATATCACAGAAGGACTCAAAGGCAACTAGATGCATTTCAGGGTAGAGAGAGAAAGGAGGCTAGGACATCTCCCAGGTGTCTGAGTGACTCGGGCCATTTACGGAGAAAGGGTAGGCAGTTTAGGGTGGGCAGGGCTCTGGACAACTTGAGTGTGAGGACATGGAAGTTAAATAATGAGGCTGTGGTTTATGTCCTGGTTCTGGCATCAGACAGTAATTATGGGATTCAAATGCCACGGTTTCCTGGCTGATGGCCTTGAGCAAGCTATTTAACCTCTTTGTACCTCAGCTTTCCATCCAGAACGTGGAGAAAGTACGACAAGTTACTGTGAGGACTAGAGAGAACAGTTAAAGTGCTCCTTAGAGCTCTGGCACACAGGAAAGTGCTCAGTAAACTGACGCTATTATCCAGGATGATGTTATTATCACAAAGGTTGGAATGCTGGCCAAGTGCTACAGGAGTTCCAAGAAAGAGGCTAGAACAGTCAGGGAGGGCTTCACAGAGGAGAGGGCCACTAAAAAGCAGCATTTACACCATAAGAAGTAGAATCAAGCCATGAACCCCACTTCAGACACAGCCTGACTCCTCCCTTCTCTGATAGTTGCCCAGCCCTGGTTAGCAGATGTGCTGCAGGGATGGTCCCCACTCATAGGCACAGAAAGGTCTCAGGACACCTCAAGAACCACATGTGACATGTGCCCATCTAACATACAGAATAAAGAGGGCACCTGCCATAGTTCTGATTTATGGCAGAGGAATGATGCTGATCTTCTTTCCCCAGGTGACTCATCTCCTCATCAAGAGGCCCCCGCTTTTCAACTACAGGCCTGGCGACTACTTGTATCTGAACATCCCCACCATCGCACGCTACGAGTGGCACCCCTTCACCATCAGCAGTGCTCCGGAGCAGAAAGGTACGCCAAGTCCTCCCATCGTTCAGATGTTTACTGAGTTCCACTGTGCACCAAGCGCAGCCTGGAAACCAGTCACACAGAGGTGAACAAAACCAGGTGCGCAAAGTCCATCTCCAAAAGCTCCCTCTGAAACAAGGAGGCAGATGGGTAGACACGGTGAATGGCCTGGTCAGAGCTGTCCCAGCTACTGCGAAGCTCACAGGGGCGGGCCTGACATGATGGGATAAGTAGTCAAGGCTTCGCAGGCATGTGGCATTTCAGCTGAGCTTTGAAAGGTTAGTAGGAGTTTAGTAGACAGGGAAGGAGATGGGGAGGAGGCAGAGGGGAGAAGTATAGGCAAAAGCATGAAAACCTAGAAACATGGAACATCTGATGTTGTTAGAGCTAAGGGTTGGGGTGGGGTAGGGAGGAAAGAAGGGAGGGACACACACAGAGAGAATGGGGGACAGGAGAGAGGGTCAGAAGAGGGATGAAAGGCAGACAATGTGGCTGGCAAAGCCAATTAGAGCCGGGTGGGACCAAGGAGGCCTTTGAATGAAGAGTTGGAAGCTGGATGGCCCAGCAGTTGGGAGCCCACGAAGGTCTTCAGCAGAGGAGCAGCCAGCTCACAGGAAGGAGTACCAGGGGGCTGTGCCAAGAAGCCAGGCTTCCCCACTCCCTGTGGGCATGAGCCGGTTGACCCCCAGGCAGCAGACTCCCTCCCACTCTTTTGCCCCACCCTTGCACTACTCCATTTCTCTGCGGGTCCCCAGCACCCATAGGACCATTCAGCTGGCCCTTCCTTCACCCAGCTGTTCTCGGACCCCTCCCTCCCCCCCTCCCCCATGCATGTGCCTTCCTTCTGGTCCTGGGCTGTTGTTGGAGCCAGCATCCAGACTTCTGCGCTCCTGGCCAGGCCAGAGGTTGGCCTGCCCACCTCAAGTGGTGCTTCTGACAGCACAGGCCTTGCGTGGCCTGTTACACTGAGACCCTTACTTGGCTCCATGAGGGGTAAAGGGGTTCTCTGACTCATCCCTATGAAAAGATTTAGCTTCACTTAGGATGCCTCCTCACCAGAGCCCACAGGACCCAGCCCCCAGAGCTCAGGGTGCAGATGCAAAGCCAGAATTCCCCCCACATGAGGCTGCTCAGCAACCCCCCCTTGAATGACCTGATTGGTGGCCTGGATGTAGAATGGGATGAAGACAGGGATGAAGGTTGAGAGGGTGGGTTATTTTCTTTCTATTTTTCTTCCCTTTTCTGTTTTCTAAAGAAGATATATGCTCTCAGAAAATTCAGACAATATAGAAATCTGTACAGAAGAAAACTAAAGGCCCTGGCTGGGTAGCTCAGTTGGTTAGAACGTCATCCCAATACACCAAGGTTGTGGGTCAGAGCCTCTGGTTAGGGCACATACAAGAAGCAACCAATGAATGCATAAAAGTAAATGGAATGAGTCAATGTTTCTCCCTCTCCCTTCCCCCTTTCTTCTCTCTCTCCCCCTTCCTCTCTCTAAAATCAGTAAATAGAAATAAAATATCATAGTTAAAAAATTAAAATCCCTCAAATAATTCCATTCAAAGAAAACTATTGTCAATCTTTTGGTGAACAGCCTTCCAGCCGGTACATCTACATGGAGAGTCAGATGCAGGGACACCTTTGCATGTGTGGGATCACACTGTTCCCACTGTTTTGCAGCCAACTTTTCCTCAGTGAATAGTGTGTCATGAAAATCTCTGCATGCCAGTTTTTTCAAAAAGAACTTTTTCTTTTCGTGGCTGCATAGTATTCCAGTTTATCGCTACTACTCTGGTTATAATGACTATGTTTATTAAGTGGATGGGTCATTTATTTGACCAGTTCTTAAAGGGGCTTCTTCAGGGTCTCAGCGTGGAATCCACCTCTCTCGTGGGCCGTGAGTCTCCTGCAGTGAGCTGAGTCCTCATGGGAGCTGGAAAATACTCTGGCTTTGTTTACGAAGCTGTTTACAGAAATCAGGAGTGGGACTCAGGTTGGCAGCCGTGGCTGTTTTAATGCAACTGACATTTAGGGGGGCCTCCTACGTGTGAGTCACTGTGTGAGGCACTTCAGAATGCATTTGTGTAGAGAGACATAGCTACCCCCCCACACACACACACACGCACGCGCACACGCACACGCACACGCACACGCACACGCACTTATAGCCTGAAAGGGGAGGAAGCCTGAGAGAGGAGCATGGGAGGAGGTGTCTGAGGACCTGAGCTCCAGTCCTGACTTTTCAGGTCACTCCTCATGAAGCTGTGAGAACATGCCGCTCCGGACCTCTGTAAATACAGGGTTGAACCAGTTTATTTGTGACCTTGGAAGGGGTGGGGGGTGGGGAGTGGCATCTTTATTTTCACTAACCTCTAATTGAAATTTAGCCTTTTCTTCATTTAGGAATGCAGATAACCCACAATAGTGTTAACAATACCTGTGACTTTTTCTAAATAAAAGCCATAGATTCCTTTATATCACACAGCAATTGTGGCTGATACCTCGTCATTACTTCAGATTTCAGTGGCCATGCAACTCCCCAGCGGGAGTTATTTCGTGTGTTAACAAAGAAGCGCATACATTCCTAAATCACACATTTGGTGTTTTTAAAAAATATTTTTGATAACTTTCTCATCACAACTGGTTTCATTTGCAATGCCTACGTATGTTACTTTATGTATTTAAGAACCTTACTGTGAGGAGTCTATCCCAGGGGTGGGCAAACTTTTTGACTCGAGGGCCACAATGGGTTCTTAAACTGGACCGGAGGACCGGAACAAAAGCATGGATGGAGCGTTTGTGTGAACTAATATAAATTCAAAGTAAACATCATTACATAAAAGGGTACGGTCTTTTTTTTTTTTTTTTTAGTTTTATTCATTTCAAACGGGCCGGATCCGGCCCGCAGGCCGTAGTTTGCCCACGGCTGGCTATCCACTGCCTTCACAGAGCTGCCCAAACAGTCCCTGGGTTAAAAGAATAGAAAAAGGAGGTCTCTTAGGGGCCTCCTCAGTCTAATGCTGTGGATTCTCTCTGGTCCCCCTTAGCAGAAGGGTGGCCACCCCACACTACCTTTCCGCCAGTCATCCACTCAACAGAGAACCTGAGAAAGCACCTGCTACATCCCAGGCACAAGGTGCAATTAAAGTCATTGGTCCCACCACCAGTTGAACACCTACTATGTGCAGAGCCATTGACAGGCACCTGGCTGAATGTGGGAGGGAAATGATCCCCACCTTAGTGAGACCCTGGCCTGATGGAGGAGGCAGGGACTCCACCCCAGGGAGCTCCTGGTGTGCTCAGGGCAGCTCTGGCCCCTGCCCTGGCAGAGGAGACGGAGCCTTTACTGTGTAGGCTTAGATTGACTTCATTGAGAAAATTTGCAAGGGGGAGATCAGATCTCCATGTCCTGTGGCTGTGGCGCTAGTTTAGATCTGAGGGAGGACAGATCTAAACCCAGGACTTGAGCAGCGGACACCCAGCCCCAATTTCTCAGGTGAGCCGGGCCTGCTCCTCGCTGGATTCCAGCATTGATCCTCTCCCCGCATCTCTTGTTCAGACACCATCTGGCTACACATCCGCTCAGAAGGCCAGTGGACAAACAGGCTCTATGAGTCCTTCAAGGCATCAGACCCAGTGGACTGTGACTCCAAGAGACTGTCGAGGAGTTTGAGAATGAGAAGGAGCCAGAGGAGGCCCCAGGTAGGTGCTATGGGGACGGAAGGGTCCACCATGGAGGCAAACCCATGGGGACCAAGTTGCCTTCTGCCTGGTTGGTGGCACCAGCCGTTGAGCAGCAGCGTGCACACTGGCTGAGAGGCAGTGTGAGGACCAAGGCAGCTCCGCATTGTGTGGTCTAAGAGCCTTCTCAAATCTTGATCCCCCCCGGTCCAACCCAGTCTGTGCCCTCAATTAAAAGGTAGGGGACAAAGAAAAGAGAGGGAAAACTGAGATCAGAAAAACTCACCTTTACGTCTCTGCTCCAGCACTTGCTAACTGTATGGCCATGGGCTCATCCTTTAACCTTGCTGAGTCCTAGGTTGTTCACTTACGAATTGACTTCCCTTTCTCACATGGTTCTTTTAAAGGGCCAGTGGGATGGATGCCTGTAAAGTATTGAGTGACCTGGGCAGCATGGTCCAGATGGACCATTCATCATCACCATCAACACCACCCACATTAGCATCAGCGTTGTTGTTGTTTTTTATTTTAATATATTTCTTTATTGATTTCAGAGAGGAAGGAAGAGGGAGAGAGAGATAGAAACATCAATGATAAGAGAATCATTGATTGGCTGCCTCCTGCATGCCCTACTGGGGATCGAGCCCGCAACCCAGGCATGTGACCTTGGCCAGAAACGAACCTGGGACCCTTCAGTCCACAGGCTGACGCTCTATCCACTGAGCCAAACTGGCTAGGGCATCAGCGTTGTTTTTTGAACCTGGATGAAATCCACAAGCCTTCCGAGTTGCCAGTGCCTGGGGCACATACAGGCTCGGTGGGGTTTGGTAGGAATACATAGAGATCAGAGCGGCACCTGAGGAAGAATAGATAAAGGAGACGGAGGGCACCTGAACACTTAGTGGGCTGTAGCACCAGGCTGCAAACCCTGCGGAAGGTCAAAAGAAGAGAAGCCCCCAGGCCTGGCCCTGCCCTGCCTGGCCCTGGAAGGATATGAAGTCCAGGGGGAAACCAGGGGGAATCCTGCCCAGTCAGACCAGAGAGCCCTCCTGGAATGGTGCCAAGAGCAACGCTTTGGGAATTGGAGGGACAGGTAGAAATGAGAGAGCATTGTCTACTGTTAACCAGGGGAAACTTCCTGAAGGAGGAAGCTGCCTTTTGAAGCTAGGTGAGTTATGGCACACCGGGAATTGTTAAAAGCTGTGTTTCCTCTGGGACCTGACACACCTCTGCCAAAAAATACATCTGCACAATCTTTCTGGCGGGCAGTCTGGCCGTAAGTGTCAGCATTTTAAATATCTATACTCACTGGCCCAGCAATTCCATTTTTAGGGATTTATTCTAAAAAGCTAGTTGGACAGGTGCACAAGAATACCTTAAGCACCTTGTTCATTCATTCATTCATTTAGCAAACATTTATTGAGCATAGCACCTACTATTTCCTAAGTACTGTACTAGATGCTGGAGACAGATCAGTGAGCAAGGCAGATACATTCACTGCTTATGTTCTGAAGAGACAGCCAATAAACAAATAAAATAGATACAGTGTCAAGTGATAATAAATGCTATGAAAACAAATCAAGATAAAGTAGCAATTTTCAACCTTTTTCATATCATGTCACACATAAGCTAATTACTAAAATGCTGTGGCACACAAAAAATGTTTTATATTTTTTGCTGATATGACAAAAATAGGTATAGTTTTGATTGGTTTACAAATAATAATAATAATAATAGTAATAGTAATTACCTACCCTCATTGCTCCAAAGTAACTTTTTAAAAAATCAGGTGTTTATACTTGTATATAAGAATTTCTGGTACCAAGAATTAACCAATCAGATGCAACCTTATCATTCAACATGACTAATAAAATGCAACACTTTTGTATGATCTATATATTTGTTGTAAAATATATTTTTATTGATTCAGAGAGGAAGCAAGAGGGAGAGAGATAGAAACATCAATGATGAGAGTGAATCATTGATCTGCTGCCTCTTGCATTCCCCACACTAGGGATCAAGCCTGCAACCCAGGCATGTGCTCTTGACTGGAATTGAACCCGGGACCATTCAGTTCACAAACCAGCTAGGCTATAATCTATATTTATGGTTCAAGACAGGGCATTCACACCTGACTGCTATTGTTGTGTTGGCTATTGTCATTTTTTCATTCTGCAATCTAAGAGAAAAGAGGTCTGTGCCCCTAACTAACTACTCAGGTATTGCATATTTTAAAAAGTCTTGCGGCACACAGGTTGAAAATCGCTGGAGTAAAGGATAGAGATGGAAAAGGTGCTATTTTGTACATGGTAGTTGTTAACAATAATGAGGAAATAATAATAATCAAAATTCCACAATAGGAAAGGAGCAAAATAAGTTACCGATCACCCTTATAATGGAATATAGGTCCCTAAAAAAAGATATGCACTGGAAAGTATGGAAACCTAGTTAAGATATAATAAAGTGGAAAAGCCAGATTACAAAGCAGTATGTTCCATTTATGTAAAAGAGAGAGAGAGAGAGAGAGAGAGAGAGAGAGAGAGAGAGAGACTGTGTGTGTGTGTGTGTGTGTGTGTGTGTGTGTGTGTGTGTGTATGTGAGAGAGAGGAGGGTGGTGGAAAGAGAGGAAGTCTAGAAGGACATAGAGAAAATGTTTAAAGAAGTCATATTACCTGGTTCAGGTCCCTTTTCACTTTATTTGTTAACATTCTGTAATATCTGAATCTTTAAAACTAATGTATTACTTTTGTGATTTAAATAATAAAACAATTCCCATTTTGAAACCAAGAAGGATTTGCAATCCCAGCCCGTTTATTCCAAGGCCGTGGCACAGGGAGCAGTGGTGTCCAACAAGGACGTCAGTGTGGAGCTGATATCCTACAAATGCGAGGGAGCTCCGTGGCAGGGGGGCGAAGGCCCGGTGCACACAGGGACACAGGCCGGGACTCAGGCGCGGTGCGGAGCCTCGGCCAGCAACCGGGTTCTGGTAAGTGGTAGGACTGAGGAAGCCGGGCTGGAGGCTGGGGAGCCGGTGGTTTGTCTCCCCGGGGTGGCGGCTCCTTGGAACTTGGAAGAGAGGGCCTTAGGGCAGCCACCTGCAGGAAGACCTCACATTTCACGGTGTTTCTGCACAGTCACCTGCATCCCACCCTCATCACTTTTGCCATATTCACTTCCCACCATAATATTTCCCACCTCACAGTTCCCTTTGTATCCCAACATTACTTTAACTTACTTGTATTTAAAAAGGACTCTCCTGATGGCCACTGTTAGTGGGAAACTGATATCCTATGCCAGAAACAGACAGTAGCTCTAAGAGTAAAAACAATGAAAACCAATGTTATTAGACTCTTATCAGATGTTTCTGCCTGCCAAGGCTTGGAGCCTGAAGCTGCACTCCACTGCTCTGCTCATTCTCTCTCTCTCTCTCTCTCATTTTGTTAAAAGAAAAAAAAGAGGAGGGATTAGTAAATGCTAAAGACATAGAAATTATAATGTAGGGCTTTCTCTTTGCAATCAGAGGGATTAAAACACATAGAAAGGTCTAGGTCTCTCGCAGTGTATCTCCCAAAGTCACCAGAAGTACTTCACATCCAACACGTGGGGAACGCAGCATTCCGTCTCCTCAGACAAAGGAGCCGTGTGAAGAACACTGGCCAGGCCCCAGGACACCCG